TTACTTAGTTATTTACTGTATTATTTATTAAAAATGTTTTAAACGATGGCAACCCAATGACATTGTAGTGAATGTAATTACTAGTTCAATGCAATACCATTTTGAATATTGAATGAGCACTTATTATGATAATTTAATAAATAACATATAAGTAATTTAAAACGCATAACTGGGATTTTTTTTGTTATTACATTATTTTTGTTATTTAAATACAAATTGAATTCTGTTTTGAACACATACCGTGTTTGTGTATCCAACGTATGTAAATGTAAATAATATTATAAAAAATATAATTTCGTATGAAAATGGACCGAAGAAACCATAATAACGTGCATATCTTTTGAACATCGGAAGTCTTAAAAAATGTACTTTTAGTATTTATCGAAATATTTTATAAAAAATAAAACGTTGTACATTTTCTGAGCAATTGATTTCTTTGTCGAAAACTTGGCTTCAAGTTCGGTTAGTGCTTGAATGAAAAATAACAATTCGACATCTGCTCTCTGCAACAAATGTGTTGTGACGTTTGATTGGATTCTTTGAAGTTATTACCACGCCAAAGCTGTAATTGGAATAAATACTTAGGGCACACACGCGTGTCAGTACTGTATTGTTTGAAAATTAATTTCATCGTGAAAATTGTGTATTGATAATATTACAACAATAATAATTATACATATATATTTCTAAAGAAGTTATTCTTGCGGCATGGCGTCACCTTTATGTTAAGTCGGCCACATGTAAAGGTTATGCACATGTGTAGTCTGTTTAGAAATTAATTATTACTTCTTAATCAAAGCGTTCGCCTGTTTGAGATAATTTACTTAGGTACCTGTACATCATTTTAGTATAAACAACCCTACTCGACATCAATTTTTTACTCAATTTTAATTACATCTCATATTGACACTAGTTTATTAGTGATACTTAGTTACAGATTATTAATTTACTTCCTAATTAATTAAAATAATTAACTTGATTAAAACTTTTGGCGATTAATGGATAACAAAAGCGTGGATAAGTGAAGAAAGTCGCCCGATACTACAGTTGCAGGGTAAAGTTTCTATATCTAGAAAAATGTATTGTCATAGTTACCCATATCTTGTAATTAACATTGTAATGAAACTGGTTGACTGTTGATTTACTCACGCTTAGCAACCGGTAAATTGACTATGGTCGGTGTGTAATTTCACTCGTTTGGGGGTTTTCCTCAAAAAAAGTTTGACTACAGATTTTTGAGAAAGTTGTCTTATTTTATTCGGTCTAATTTTCAGACCTAAATCCCTAAAACTTTGCTTAAAAAAGTGAATTAAAGAAAAAATGTCCATATCCCTTCTAGGGGAAAGGGTTTATGATATTTTTTTTTTGGTTTGTCAATGTTTATCGGTAGTACTGTGTTTAAAAAATATTCCGTACACATTTGGATCTAATGTGATTATTTAAAAAAAATCTATTTGAGCGTCGCAATTTTAAGTTGAAAAATATGTAAACTTTTTGGGTGTTTTTCTAGATTTTGAGGAGAATTTTGACCCAATAAGGTACCTTTCAGGTACGATTTCTGATCAATATAGTTGCTACACGGAGAAATCGGTTCAGCGGTTTTTAAAAATATCGTTGGTCCAGCCACACAAAAACAAAAAAAAATTATAACAAAAACACAGCATTGTAAAAACAAAATTTCTCGGCTCCTCGTCGAAGTTAAAATATACTGCGTGGGACATTTTTGTAACATATTTATATTATAATATTATATACTATTATTAGGTTTTCTTCTTCGCCGAATACGTAGGTACATTTAGAGTTTTGTAAAACAACAAACAAACTGAATCGTATCATCTTGTTGGTAGAAAAGAATGGTAAATCCACGGGTTGAATATAAAGTGGCCAGCGCAATATATTATTGTTATTGTTCTGCCATTGTATAAGCAACGCAATCTCGTCAACTTTCCATTCAATAACAATATTATAGTATATTATGCGATTCGACCATGCGAGTTGTGTACGGGTATTGCTCGAGTCTTATGTAAATAAACGCTATTCATTCGACGGCGGTGCACGGCGGAATCGAAATAGTTTTTACCGCTTAAAGGATATTCGCAAAAGTTTCTTGGGGGGCTTTTTTTTTTGTTTAACGCCGGCTAAAAAACGTGCACATGCAAACGTGTACATGTGTATCGGTTTTGTGTATTCGATTACCGCGGCAGAGGGAGAGAAAGGGAGGGGGATGAAAAAATTCAAACAAAAAAAAAAAATGAATAATAAAATCGAATTATACTCGACCTGGCCGGTCATTAACAGCTTGCCGACGACCCAACAAGTTAACGGCTCGCAATAATAATATATTCCGTCCGTTCATTAGCTTAACGCCGTTCCTCCGGTAGGCCGCGTTTAGCGTCTTAATTGATTTCGCCGTTAAATCCTTTATCATAATATTGTTTTGCCCAAGCCTTAACCGCCTCGGCCTCGGGATCCGCCATGATTCCATTAGCGTGTAAACGTACTTGTTCGGTCACGGTCAGTGCACGGCACGAATGACAAAAATTTGAAATTATTATCGTTGTAGTTATTTTCTTTAGGTAATTATATTTACCATACGACACTAGTCGAAGAAGAAGACACTACGCTATAGTTGTTGTATGGCGAATACTACAACTCTTTGGGAAGTACATAATTTATATTCATACCCTTTCGGTATTACAAGTAAGCTGTGAATGGAGTACCAAGACTTGTTAGACAGTTTCAATGCTAATCAGTACTGTATAAAGGGTTGTTGAACGCTGTAGATTCAGATTAAACAAGCGCTAACAAAACTGTTAATATTTTTAAATAAAAAAAAAATGATTTGAATAGTCTTCTAGTTCCAAGTTAAAATTTTTTTGATAGAGATGAAACAGGATGTCGAAGGAGTGTGGGTGTGGGTAATAGAAAATCCGGTGCCCAGCATTCTTACTACACCGTCAATAGAATATGAACTTCTAGAGGAACAACGGTCGAAAACCAATTTTAAAAGAGACGAAATATTGACTGTTATTTATAAAGGCATAACCGGTTGAGAGACAATGCCACCTTATGGATAGAATCATTAAGCTTTGCGATGACAAGTGGAAGGCTAAATTTGCGCCAGAGCTAACAATGATTAAGAAGCTGCGCGAATCGTTACAGGACTTGGTAACTACATTCACCGACCAAACACTGCCCGCCCTCAAAGTTACCAATTATGAAGTCAAATTGTATTTGTTTAAAAAATTAGTACCTATTAGGAAAACCAATGACAATTGGCTTGACATTAAATACGTTCCGCAGTTGATCCGCAAGAGAACAGTTGTAAAGTGTTAAAAACATATTTTGTGTAATATACAAATATATACTTATAAAAAAACGTTTTGTGTCAAGTACATTTTTCCATCCGTGTCTACTGTCATCATTCGCTCTTCAGTAATTGTTTATTCTAATAAATTTTCATTATTTAAAATAGGAAGTCATCGTGTTAAAACAAATATCGACCGCAATCACTTTTAGTGTATGTTGTAGAGTAACGGTAACGATTTATAAATGATGTATAATTATGTAGATAATACAATAACACAATAGGTTACAACAAAAAAACTACATCTTATCACGTCATGGTAGTCTTATAACGATACGCAAACATATGTACACAACTAATTTTAGTTGCTTGTGTATTAACCGACTAACCCACTGGATTTAAAAATATACATCTTTCGTTGCAACAAATGCAATAATAATATTCTGCACACGTTCAAGTGTTACATTTTGCAATAAAGCATTGTTTTCTACTTAAATAGCTTAGGAAAATAGTTTTGATTTAATTGTTTAAGTGGCCACACTGTACACGGTATGTAAAACTATTATTGAATATCAAACAAAGATTTTAATCAACTCGAAGTGTGTGTTGAGAAAATCTTGGTTTGTTTTAAAATCGCCCGTCTTAAGAAATTATTTGTTGTTTGTGGACATTTTCAAAAAATTGCTTTTAGCTGGTTGTGAAACTGGATGCCTCAATTATTTGAAATTCATAATTTCAATAAAACTCATTAGAACAAACATTATTCAATTTTCGTATCCGCAAAAAACGTACATCAAAGTAACCGGTTTAAATGGAATAAGTATAATTACTAAAACCTACATATTTCATGTACACTAAAAGTCCCACAGAAGCCATAGGGTACATTTTACATTGTACTTAAATTAACTAAATACATTATTTTAAGTCCTGTACTTTATGTAGATATTAAATGTGTAATCCTGAAAAGTGTTTTATACAAAATATATATGAAGATTTATGTACACAATACATCATAGGACTAATTTAGGTAAAAAACGTCGAAATTTGGACGAAATAACTCAAATTTGTTCAGAAAAAAATTGCTGTTTGGAGCGTAGTCAGGTCGGTGGAGTCTCAGGACAGTAGAGATTGTTACAGCTTAAAGTGATGAAACCAATCACTTTCAAATAAATACTTCCATGCGGATCTGTAATGGTAAAATTACCAATATCGATAAAAGCATCGTACGCAATAACAATAATGCGCTTAAAAATGTATCTTAAGTGCTAAATTGGATATGATTAGGATTCAACACACATTAAACCGTTATATTTTGCTAAATTGTGTAATATAATATACTAACATTTTCATTCATTCAAACTATTTTACAAAACAATTTCACTTAACACCATTATCCACTGACCCCATCGATATTAACTTTATAATGAAATTATTTTTTAAATATCTACCTGTTGACTATCGTTTCATTCATACATAGCAACTTAGAAATTTACCACGGTTTAAGTTTAGGCAATATTTCCATTTTATTCTTATTGGTTTTTCTTTAGTAAAAAAATAATTTTGACAACAAATTTTCGTGAAAATCGTGACATTTGCAAAGTTTATCAACCGCTTGAAACGGTTGGGGCTTTTTTTTTCTAGAGACTGGTAAAAAGTTTTATACTGTTCATATATATATATTATGTACACTCACTTGTCGCTTATGTTGAACAGGTCGGTGCCGCTGATGTGCAACATTTGTTTCAGCGTCTTGGCGCCCTTGTAAACGGCCATCACGGCAAAGTGTCCGCCGGCCAGGCCGCCGGGCTCGGGCCACACGCTCATGGCCAACACTTTGCCCACCACTTCGGTGGCCCGAGTCTGGGCCTGTACGTCGCGGGAAGTGTGCAAGCAAACGGCCCGGACCGGCAGGGCGGGCGGACAGCAGGCCAACGTGAGGGCGGCCAACACCGCGTGTACGGCCCGCATGGTCGGTGGACGGCAGTAAAACGAACGTTTACCGTACCGAATTAACCGTTTTTGTCGTCGGCATTTTAATTTTTTTGGAGCAAAAATGTTTGAAAAGAATTGAAATCGTTGCCGAAAAATGGCGCTTTTACAAAAATGTCCCGATGGCGATCTCGGCGGTTTCTTGCCCGGTCGTTGGGTGTACAATGGCGTACGTGTGGCCGGCACATCGGGCGCGTTGCGACTGTTGAGCTCGTGCCGCGTTGCCTAACCGAAGGGTGACTACAGCCTTTGCCGCCGCCCCCACTGCCGCCGTCGCGAAACGCGGAAATATACAAAAATAATAGGTGCAAATATGCCGGCTGACGGCGGGCAAAGCGCGGTAAACGGCCGCCGCCCACCCCTGTAGTAGTAAGTACTAACTACTAAGTGAATAAGTACTCCCTTACTCATTCACTTAGTAGTTAGTACTTACACTCCCTGTCCAGTGTTCACAGATAAAAAGTACAAGTATCGATAAAAAAAAAATCATTGTACCAAATGAAAATGATGTGCTTGAGTGAAATTCATTTTTAGTAGTAGGGTGGACACCAATTAGCGGGTTGATCGTATGTCTATAAAAATGTACTGCCATAGCTATCCGTATAATATCGTAATTAGCAATATAATGAACATATTTTCATTATCCATTGACTTGTAGATTCACTCACACGTCAACAGCAACCTGGTAATGGACTGCGTAACTTTACCGTTTTTGGGAAAATTGTATATGTTATAGCCCCTCATTCTAAGTAATTATGTGTACACACAATTCTATTATATAATACACAAAAATACACAGTCGACCATCTAAATGTGATTTAACCGGTAAAATGTATTTTTCAATAGGAAATTAATCATTACCGTACCGTAATGTTAAAATGAAAATATTATTTTTGGTACACAGCTGAATACGCCGAACACAACAATAATTACTTTTGGCAAAACGAACACGGTTTTTATAATACATTCAATGAATTCGAGTTTTATTAATAGACTTCTTACGACAAATTTCACGCTGAATGGAACGCCGTTAGTGCGTTTTTAAACAAACCACCAGCATGGCGTTTGTGTGAATATTGTCAACATAATAAATAATACAATACAGTACAATTATAACTTTGTCTAAAATTATGGCCCAAAAAACACGTCAAACAGTTTGGCTGGTGTTTTTCGGCTCCATAACTAACACGTGTTATTTTATTTATAATAACGTTTATCTTAATAATAATGTTATTATTAACGTATGGCGAAAAAATATAAAAATTGTTTATATATTATTATTTTTTTTAACAATTGGAATTATTATGGAACCATTGAAATGGCAAAAATAAGCGTGGGCGGTAACACAACGAGAAATTTTGACTTTTGACTTTTTTGTCAACTGATTACACATGGCAGAAAGATAATAAACTTAAAAAAAAAGAAATATTTCTCACGTAAGACGAGCGAAGCCAATAATTTCCCAAGTGAACCGAATTTATAAAAAAAAACCGTTTTCAGAGAGCAAAGAGATAATATGTGGACCCGTACGTGCCATTTTCTTATAACGTATACAGACAGGTTTTTGCTCCAAAATCTTTTTTTTTTTTGAACCCTAATCTAACCTTTCCTTTCATTTTTGAAAACCACGCTTTCGTCACCGGAATTACCACAAAAAAACACATTAGTAAGTAAGAAATGTTTAAAGTCAGAGAGGACACTATTATGGCGTGAACACAACTGTTATTTTACCACAGTATATTAACGTTAAAGAGCAATTAATCAAAACATTCCAATAGCAATAATGTCGATAAACCTATTAAATGTACATCAAACAGCCACAGAAACCGACCAAATACGTATCATAGTGTCTGCAAAAAACTCTTAACCGACTAAATCTAATTTGATAATATCCACAAGAATTATTTCGGATCTCGTTTCCACAAAAAGGCAACAATATCGAATTGACCGACTCTCCAAAATCACGAACCGAAAACCTTACAAAGCCAAAACTTACATCAACTTTACACAACACATTGATTAGAATCCCTGTAATATTGAACTGAAAAATCGTTAAAACTCTATACTGCTTTAGATACTGGTTCTTGACACATATAAACGTTTGATAATTTCATACAAATACATATTATTATGTACCTATTCAACAAATAATATGTAAATTTTAGCGTTTTGAGCACCAGGCGAAAACACAGTAATTAAATAATATGTTAAACCGAAATAAGTTAACAACACAACATGTATACAAAACTCTATTTAAACGATAACTACGGTAGTTGTAATTAACATAAATTATAATCACCGCCTTGGAAGTGAACGGATGTAAACGGATTAATGACTTACAATATTGGAATCGGCCCATATGCTGTTGTGGTGCATTTAGGACTTGAGCGATGCGCTCAGAAAGCATACACAGCTCTAGCTAACTTGGATATCTCTTGGCCAACAGCGTTTTCGAGTCTAATGGTTTGGAAAATTAATCCTGGCTACAAAATATGAACGTGCGGCCAAAATCGATTTCGACCGAATGACTATGTTCGCGTGCACCCAATTTGCCCTGTCCGTTTGCTCTGAACGTGAACTATTATTGTTCCACGAATAAATATAAGACTAAACGCATAATTGAAATCGGACAGTTCAATAGCAATGCGGCCCAAGCCGGTGTTATCGCACAGCGAGTTAGCCAAATTGAAATTGTGCACTGTTGTTGATGAAATCCACAAGAAACATTTCTCGTCGTTTCATATCAATTTGAAAAAGCAGAAGAAAATTCAAACATATTATGGAAAGTTGCAAACAAACAACATACTTTGTGTGTTTGCGACTAACAACATACTTTGTGTTTGTGACAAACTGTATATTTTTCTTAGCTTTTTTTTTTTTTAATATATACCGGCAGATTCTTGTGAGGTACCATTCTATACCTGCGTATTTTGGGTCGAAAACAACTTATTCTACTTACCTGAAAATACTCCGGTTTAAGTTTTGAAAAAATATTTGAACTCTGATTTTAAAATTATTTTTTGTTAGTTAATTATTTCAGTTTAAGAAAGTTAAAAATAGCAGTTTGATCACATGGAAATAATCAATTTTAGTCGTTTTAAAATTGTGCCACGATCGATGCCTCGAAAACGTTACGAAGAGTTAAAATGTTTTTTTCAAAACTTACATCACAGTATTTTTAGGTAAGTTCTGTTTGAAGTAAAAACATATTATGTTTTTATACAAAAATAGATCCTATATGGGTTATAAAAGTTAAAAAAAGAATTAAATATCAAATTAGTTACTTCTTTTCTATAGTAATGTGGAGGTTTAAAAATTTTGGCTATTTGTTTTAGTGAAAAATTGCCTATACAATGCGCCTTAAAAAATATTAATTTAGAGGCTCCTTAACGCCCCACTCAAGTTTTTTCTTTTAAATTTTGTAATTCTGCAGTTTTTTTTTTTTGAAAACACTTCTGTCTATAGGTTCTTTATTACAGTATTAGACAATACTACATTCTTTTTACCTTTTTTTTAGTATTTTCTAGCGATTCGTCGACTTTTGAAACTTAAATAGTGACGTACATATTTTATTGGCTTTTTAGATTAAAAATAATTTGCTGAACATTTTGACAGGAGGTGAAGTGTGGTTGAGTAATGCATGCAGATAAAGGTAATTATACACTCCACCCTTCTTCTCGCCCTTATGTTTTAATAGCTTTAAAACAATTTATTCAAAACTATTTTTAATCGAAAAAGTCAATTAAATATATATGTCACAATTTAAGTTTCAAAAGTTAATAAAGCCATGAAAAATAGTAAAAAGATTAAAATTTGAATATTCTCTTATACTTTAAATAGCATAAATAAAAATGTTTTCAAAATGAATAACTACGAAAATTCAATTATTTTAAGAATAAACTAATGTAGGGCGTTGAAAGAACCACCTAGTATGTCCTTATCCGCCATCATTCTTATCACTATCATATCTATTATCAACTTATCCTCAGCTCGTACTTTATATAGTTTGCTATATTACCAACTATTGTGGCGATATAAAAGTCCAAGGGTAATAGCACTTCATTATTTTCTTAATATAAACACAATTGTACAATTTAAATTGACCTTAATTCTGTTTATTATACAACAAAAATAGGTTTTATCAGATTTGGTTTTGAATACATAATAATTTTCAAACTCGAATCTTCAACGAAATATAATATACATATATATATATATATATATATATATATCGGTTTATCAAATTTTGTACATTAGGGCCTGTCGTTAATAGAAGTAGGAAATAGGACAGAAACAATGGGAAGATTAAGCCTAAAAAATATGATATATATATATATATATATATGTATGTATAAATTTGGTTTACTTTTTTAGTTTCAAGAAACTCCAAACACATTAACACGCGATTAAATCCTAACGGTCGATGATCGATTGAGAAAAATTCTTCAAATCTGACATATTTCAGTTTTTGTTCTTAATTTTTTTTTTAATAGCACAAATTGTGTTTACAACCACACGTGATAAATGAATACACACAAAAAACAATACAGTTCTTTTTAGTAAGTATACGTTTTTATATTCGTACAGAAGATAGATTCATTACAAGGTCGTACTAATAATAATACTGTGATAGTATAGAGTAGTGTACTCTGTCTCGCGAGAGAACGGCACCGCGCAGAAACCAAAACGCGTCACTCTTGTCGGCGCAGGCGCAATAGAGAGTGATGCGTATTGGCTTCTGCGCAGTACCGTTCTCTCGGCAGACAGAGACTTAAAGTAAAAATAATATAGCGTATGTGTATGTAAATTGTATATACAACTATTTATATAATATGTATGTATAGCTGCCGTTTTGTCAATGGTCGTACGATATTACAAGTATGCAATACAAGTACACGCCGGCGATGAATATAATTCGCGGACACGTTCACCGACTCGGTAAGGTCGTAATGTGCGCACAACGGTCTAATAAACTAAGACGGAAAGGTCCTTGAGGTGCGAGAGTTGCTCGCAAGAAGAAGCGGAATCCCGTGTATGTAATAAATCCTACGTGACAGTCTCAAGTATCCAAGGCACGAATTTCGATATCCTGGTGCACACGCCGGGCAGGTTGGCTTCGGCACATCCGATACCCCAGCTGATGATGCCGGCCAAAAAGTACCGGCCGTCCCTGCCTTTCACCTGCAGCGGCCCGCCGGAATCGCCCTGCACACAAAACAGAAACTTAATTAGATACACATAGAATAGAATATTATTATGTAGATGTGATTTCTAGCGCAGAGCCGTCCGGGATCAAAGTCGAAGCGGTAAACGACTTGGGAAACGCGCAAAACTTACCTGACAGGAATCGCGGCCGCCGTCGTCGAAACCGGCACACATGAATATTTCCGGTATGTACTCGTGTCGGCCAGCCCTCAGAAACATGCTTTTGCACTTGTCGTTGCTGACGATCGGCACGTTCACCTGTCAAAACAAACCCAGCAGGTATTAGCAAAATAACTCTAGGAAATAATATCCAACGATTGAACGATCAAGATAGTGATAAGAATGATGACGGGTAAAAAGGTTTATGCAATTTTGTTATGTTTCTTTTTGAAAACATTTTTGTTTACACTGTACTATGATATTAGAGAATATTAAAATTTGAATTTTCTATGACTTTATCAAAGGGTCAAAAGTCCAAAAGGTCGAAACGGCAGGGGAATTGTTAACTCGAAAAAATGTCCGGTTTTAACGGTAAAACGTTAAAGTTCTTGTACATATGACTTAAATTGGATCTTTTCGGTGTTGTCACTGACCTCTTGCAAGACAGACGGCAGAGTGCCTCCTTCGCTGAGTCGTCCCCAACCGGTCACCGTGGCGTTTTCGCCGATGAGCAAATCATCGGACCCGGGCAGACATATGGGCACGATATGCGGTGCATACTGCAGTGGAGAGTCCAACCTGACCATGGCCAGGTCGTATTCGTAAGTGAAGAAGTTGTACTTGGGGTGGACTATCTTCCTGGCGACGGCGCGTTCGGCAAATTTGTACGGTTCGTGTTCCGTCGAAAAGTCGTACTCGCCGACCCGTATACGAATTTGCGAAGTCAACAAGCTGTAGTAAAACAAATCGTCAAATGTTAGGTTGTATTATTTAACGAGCAAAGGCCAGGAACGACACGTTGGCATATTTTGTTATGTCAATCGTTTTAAGATAACACTCACTCGTCCACACAGTGACCAGCTGTGGCTATCCAGTTTTCGTTTAGCAACGCTCCGCCGCAACGGTGAGTACTGGAAAATCCAAAGAACGACGTCCTTCTGACAGAAACCTGAAGAAAAGAAGATAACGTTTTACAAAAAGACGCTCTGGGTAATGTCGTTTTTGAGCTGAACCAACCTGCCAAGGCCAACTGCCAAACGCAGCGTTTCTGCCGCCGACTATGCGCACTTCGTGCCTCGGATGCAACGGCGCCGAACCGCAGGCTTTAAACCAAAAGTGTAAACATTAAAATCAACGATCAACGATATAAGTAGGGTGACTTAACGTACGTATTGATTTTTGATTTGTTTCAGCCGATACGCCCGGCTTGGCAGTGTGTTTTTCTGGTCTGCTTGCCGAGGTGGCGGTCACAGACGCGGTAGTCTCCGCGTTGTATTCGTAAGTCGACGAGGGGACAACCGTACTCGTGGAAGGCGGTGGAGGAATAGTAGTAGTACTAGTAGTCGTAGAAGTAGTAGTAGAAGAAGTAGTCGGAGGAGGAGGAGGAGGAGCAGTAGGTGTCGTGGTCGAAGTGCTGGTGGTCGTTGAAGTCGACGTGGTGTGCGAGTAATAGGGTTTAAGGTGGGACTGGGGTTTTGGTTTGGTGATGAATGTATGATGGTTGCCGGCATTCGAACTCCAACTAGGCCTATAACGAAATGCAAGGGTGGAATATACGTTGGCGGCCACTGGCTACAAAAAGCAAATCTCTGGCACAATCAATTGCAACCTTGTCCCATACAAACGGGATCTGCCTGCTAAATCCTCTCTATACCTCTGTGACCGTCCAAAGAACTTACAGTGGGTACTTCCGTTTTTCTTGTCCTTTTTGGATATCCATTTTTCCCTAACACCCCACTATACTGTAAACATTTTACCTCTGTACTCTCATATTTTAAAAATGGATCATCCATAGCTACATCATGCTTATGAATTCATCCGTCTCATACACATTTTTAACACACGTTTTCGCACCTATTCAAAGATATAATCTACTGTTTTGATACACACACTAGGGACGCTTTTCCTCATCAGATTTGCTCCGTCTCTATCTATAAAAATCGTACATGACGTATATTCCTTTTTGTCTCTATATTTCAATACTGGATAGCACAAACAAAATGTTGCTTCCGTTATTGACATAAATCCTTTTTCTGACAATCTATTCTCTGCTATTTTTGTCCAAACTCCGACCCGTTTCTACAAATACCTGAGATTTCTCCCAAAACGCATACCTGTGAGACCAAATGGAGTCAACCTTGTTTTCGCTGTCGTCCACTTGGGAGGCCGGTTGACTAGTCGTAGTGGTAGTGCTGGTGGTGGTGGTCGTGATGTGCTGGCTCGGCATGGCAGCCGGCCTGGACATGAAGTTGGGTCGGCTGTTGGATATGAAGTTGGTGGACGGTATCCTGTTGATCGCATGCGGCTGAGGCGTTGACGACGGTTGATAATGGTATTTTTTGTCGACGCCCGACGCTGATACCGAAGCATCCGGATCGATGTTGTTGGGTCGCATCATCACCTGCGAAGGCCTGTGTGGCCGGTGGTGCGGTCGTATGGGTTTCTGCGACACCCCGTTGCCTCCTGGCTGCGTAAAAAGCACGGCCGGCTCGGACGAGTCCGGCAGCATGGCCATCTGAGAGGCGGTTAAGTTATGCGCGCAACAGCTGCCGAACATGAACGTGTCCACGCACATGCCGATATGCCGGCCGTTGCTGTTGATGCATTCGTACACGAACATGCAAGTACCCTCTAAACCGTTGACCGAGCATGGCTTTTTGTTGATCTTATAATCTGAAAAAGAGAAACGGCTTAGAACGACAAAGCAACGTGACCGAAAGAGCTAGTGGAGCCGAGGAGAAGATTAAGGAAAAGGAATGATTGCAGTAGTAAAACTCCTTAATCTAGGAAGTTTGATTCAGATTCATACAGGAGCAAAAGGGACAAATCATTTAGAAATACATATGTCATTTTCGAGAGACAGGGCTTTTAGAAGATCTAGTGATAAAAAAATTACAATAGGGACAACAGTTACGATAGAAGTTATAAACATCAAAGGTCCAGCAGAGATAGTATAGTAGAGATAGATTTGCAAGATATGATGTTTTAAGCTGGTCGTCAAGATCACATCAATTGTGATCTTGAATACACTTTCAAAAAGTGTTTTAAATGTAAGAGCATTTTGTTTTGATCGGGTCAAAAATAGCTGCAGGTTAAGTCTAGATTAGGTTTAATTAAGCTACATCAGTTGATTAGGTAGCGTTTAAAAACGGACATAGCCAACACCTAATTTATGGGTAGAGAAGATAAGAAAGTATGGAAGAGCACTTAAAGGGGTCTCGCGACCGTGATAAAAGTTCGTTTATTAAGGCGGATTGTATAGGCAATTTTTCTTTAAAACTTAAAACTAAATTAAAAATTATAAACATGTACATTGACACAGGAAAGAGAGATCTGGTTTTATATTTGATTTTTTTTTACTCTTATAACGCATTTTAACAATATTTTTAAAAATATTATGTTTCTATTTCCAATAATCCAAATTTCCCTGTCTATCAGATTTCAATTCTGAAAAAAGTTTTGAATTTCTCATCATCTCTTTTGCGGTATTTATTTTCATTGTAAAATAGTTTTTGTAAAAACAATTTATTTTTTAACTATTCTTAAATATTTGAAAATAATAGCAGCTTAAAGCCGATACGCCAAACCACAGAAGAGAGTTCAAAACTTCTTTTTCAAAATGAAAATCTGACAAAATGGGAACTTGGATTAATGGAATCCAATTAATGGAATTGCCAAGGATCTTATTCGCCAAATTTTATCACAGTCGCGAGGTCCATTAAAAAAAAAAAAAAAAATGTGAAATCATTGGAAAAAGGTTAAACTGAGAGATTAGACGGAGGAGAGTAAAGTTACAATTTAAGACCACCAACTGATAATAATATTTAAATGTTTGTAAATTAAAAAGGACAGAATTTTAGAGAAAATTAAATAAAATCAATTAATAGTGCATTAAAATTATGTGCACAAAATATAATATTGTTGTTAAATTTGTTTTTGCCTTTAAAAATCATAAAGTCTATTGTTATTACTCTTTGATTATAACATCCTTACGGAAAGAAATTTCGTTTTAATTGTATAGTGCTTAATAAAAAGTAAAAAAAAAAATAATAGCATAAAGTATATTACACAACCATTGTGATAAAAAAAAATTCATGTTTTGCACGCAGCTCATTGTACCTAGGTATAAAACATTGTATTTGTTTAAAACTAAAATACAATGCATAACACTCTGAAATAATAATAATTAGTATCTTCCGGCACAACGATTTTGTAATAATGAAACTCTATTTTTTTTTTTTATAGTCGGTAAGTATTCAAATATTGTGTCCAACGAACAATCAAATGTTTGTTATGGAATATCCCGGTAACGCATTATTATTAAAATATTTCATAACGAAATTGTCTTAATTTCTTTTGTTCTTTGTTCTCCTATTATGTCTAACAAGGAACTACGCCGTCTGTAAACTTGTAGCGTTTCCAGTCGAACGAACCGGATTTGATCAAATCATTTCCAAACGGAAAATCCTAATGGCGAAACTTTTGTACTTGATTGTGTGCGAGCGTGCTTCAGGCTGTGAGTGAATCGTACAAATTTCAAAAAGATACAAAAAATAAATACATTTTTTATTACTAGGGTTTAGTTGTTTGTGCGAATTTTTGTCCATCTTGTATTTACGAAGATAACATTTGTATACAAATTATGGCAAAAGAAACTGAAATCTAATACATGATTGTGGACGAAACTTACTATTGAGCGCTTTGTGGTGATCATGGCCTTGAGACGATTCAAATATAGCGGTCAGCAGAGACATGACGATCCATGAGGTCGCTATTCTCATACTGGCACGGACCTGAAACAATCAAACGGTTAGGTTAGGTTAATGTGATGTAGCGGCTGGTTGACAAGCTTAATTAAAGAACCCGTCCATAGGCTATGCATAATGTGTATTATAAATTTGTTTTTCTTATTTTCGTTTTTATTGGGAGCGTTTAAAAATGTTTTACTGTTAGCGTGTTTCATGACTTGTCACCGCAGTATTATATAGTATTTATATTAAAAGATCATAATATCTTATAGTCAGTCGCCTTAAATAATACAGATACCTCTGTATGAAAATAAAATGTATAAAAACCTCTCGTGTAATTGCTCTGTTTACAACTTTTCTTCTGGCGCAATGAAATTATAGAGCAATCATATAGACTTAACGGGCGTTTTGAAGATCCGGACAGTCGTTTTTAAAGGGTGACGGATGATTTTGTAGCCGACAAATAAACCGGACGTCCGAAATTTAATAAAAATACAATTACTGCAAGGGGGGAAACATGTAAAAGCCGTCTGTCGTGGTGTAATATAGTGACAATTCTGAGTGATTTTTTATTCCATGTAATTGTGTCTCGGTGCGTCTCTATTGGCCGTTTTTCCAATCCTAACCGTTAGCAACAAAAATGAATAAGATTTTTTTTTCTTTTCTTATTGATCATTTTCTACGAGAGCTTGAAGGGTTTTGTGGACTTTCTCGGCTTGTCGTCGCGTTACACATCAAAGTTTTTCCGTGTCCAAAATATGCTTGCAGGTTAATCAAAACGATTGTAATAATCGCAGCAAAAGGCAGACAGCAATTATCTTGCTTCCCGGCTCACACGTCAAACGGGTCAATCTTAGGAGTCCTAATTGTCAAGTATTTCAATAATTATTGCAATCCCTGCTCTGTTCCTGTAGTACACAAGTCTGACCTCGTTTCGCGCGTCTACTAGTGTTTACTGAGATATTAGACACTCTCATAAGGACAATGACCGATTAATTTAATTATTTTTTTTTTCCCTTCAGTTCGTCGACATTTTCACCTATTATAGATCCGAACAAACGCGCGCAAGTCGTTAGCCGCGGCCGACGACGGCGACGATTTCCCTTTTCGCCGGCCGGTAATACCGATTAGGCAACCGGAACACCACCGTTGGCGACATAATAACTCGAGGCCGATAATGGCGATAATTTAATTATCTGCGACCGACCGGGTGGCAAAAAGTAGTAGTAGTACCTAACGAGATGTCGCGTCGAGACCAGATTTAAATAGTGTGCACAGTCACAACTCATCACAAGTCTACCATTTAAAACGATTTTTTTTTAAAATTAGCCAACCGTTTGATCTAAATAGACGATTAATTATTTCCATCGGTGCCGATTAATTTCAAAATAATCAAACAAGTCGTTAAGAACATAACGGTGAATAATTATAAAATCTAACGGTCAGACGGTTCGTGGAGAAGTCACTCAACTGTTTTTAAACGTACTAGTAATCTGGTTTGGTGGAAAAGAATTTCGCGTACGTCGTTTGTCGTTGGACCGGCTTTCGGAGTGGTCTAAATCTTTGGGATGAGCTGTTGGGCGTTCAGACATTTTGGCAGTTTTATTAATTTATTAAGCAATTGACTTGATGCAAAACCTGGTTGCGTACGGATCGATTAGGAAGCCTGGACAGAGCTCCAGATTACAATAACATAATATGTTCAATTTAGTTGGAGAAGTAAGTGCCCGAGAAGATCTCGGAGTAAACAATGTCGGGGGATTAAGCAATAATATGCCTTTTAAGTAATCTTCCGAGCTCGTTTGGCGATAGCTGTTAAACGTAGCGCCATAACACACAACAAGTGATAAACGAAACAACTATTGTTGTTTATCGTTATGATGTACCTATATGCACGTCCACCGAAACCTCGCCTGCAGGCAGATCCGTCACGGATGACCGTGTGCATTGCAGCTGTTCCTGATGATATCGCCATGCATTGACATGCACTTAGCATTGAGGAAGCAACACGCATACACACGTCTGACCCGCAGAAGCTAACTTAGCTAGGCCAACGAACCGGCAGAGAACTTACAATATGTGATTTTATAACGGCGTGGGCCGAAGAGGTAGGTTGTAAAAACTCATTTTGTCCGCTCTTGCTTTCTAAAAAATCAATTTCCTATCCGTTTTTTATGACGGCCTCGTGTCAAACGCATCTCGACAATGATAATATGTGTTTTCGCAGTCGCCGTGCCACGGTAAACAATAACATTGACATTCGACCTAAAAGCCCTAAGTTCTCGACCTACGCTCGAGTGTTAATTTTCGGCCGAAACTTGAGCTGGACAGATTTTCTACACTTTATTCGAATCAATAGTAACTGTTGTAAAACGCCACAGTTGATATCTGCCAAACGGGAACCAACGGGATTTACTTAATATGCCTGGAACTCATACTTTAGAGGGCTCTGTCAGTCGCGAGACACCCTGTATACACTGGTAAGCCGGCTGTTAACGCGCCGGATGAAATATAAGCCGGTTACCGCCGTGTGTTCAGCCGATTGTGCTTGTACACGGTGTAATGGCTGCACACACATATTATATTATATTATTATTATTTATAATAATATTACACATTGCAATGTACGGGGTAAAAAATCGTACGATCTAACCATTAAACGAACGGGGAATATATAATGTGTATATATAAGAAAAAAAAAATAAAACGTTATCCCGTATCGTATGTTGTTTGCGGTTTAGTGCCCATATTGTATAATACACGAGCGTAGTTTGTTCGTTGGTGGTGTATACACATTGTACATTAAATTATTATATTGTTCCCGACTCGATGATTAGCTGTTATTGATTTCCACAGTGCATCCGATTTTTAAAATCTTAAAGTCTGGGGATGGAACTAGCAAGGGTGACGCAAATTGGAGATGTCGTTTTCAAATTTTAGAGGCAAAATTGTTATCACCATAACAAACCGCATTGAAGTGACAACTGATGACAGCCGATTTGACAAGTGGTGCGACTGTGCAGAATCTAATCACCCACGTTAAATAAGGTACGTTGTTTAAGTACAAAAACTGAATAAATTGTACACATTAACCAAGACACGTTTGTATGCAATGACTTTGGCGATATTGAGATCTATTGACTCGTCTAGTTTTAACAGATATATTGTCTATTGATTGTTCCTAACTCTACGGTTAGTAGGCAATATTGCAATACTGGCCGTGATAATTTCTGGGGGAAAAAATATGTTTTTCTTTACACTTTGCGCAAACAAAATTAAACGAATACCGCTGAAATATCAACTCTATATTGGCGCCTACTTGTGTATATTTTTTTTTAGGGGAGGAAAAAATGAAATAGAAAATAAGAAAATTTAACGTCAACGACTTTTCCGACGAGACGAGTATAGAAATGAAAAGTAAACGCGTATCAAATTGTATAGATGTAAATAATAATAAAAAAAAAAAAAATGTAAAAAATAACAGCAAATATATATCGTATACTTAAATGTAGACACTGTGTCAACGTGGGAACGTTTGTCGAACAATCGTGAGTTTCATTGTGAATGCTCCGATTGCAAATAACATTGTTTCGGGCAACTACTTCAAACCCGTTTTACTGAATACATCTGAATACATCACTCTCATATTTTTCACAGACTCCAAATACGCATAGTATATATATATATATATATATATATATAAAAAAGTACAATGAATATACTATCAGCTGCGGATCAATAAGAGCCAATATTTGTCAAAAATCAGTTTACAATCGCTAAATTTTATGTACCGTGAAACTAATGACATTATAATGTTTAGCAAAAATAAAAAAAACATCAAGTTTAACATGTGTCCACATACGGTGGGACTCGTTTCCATAGACACCCTGTACAAGCAATATCCGTGATCTATCTCCCAGACCGGTTGATAATACACAGCGATAACGTTTTCTTTTTAACGACCCGTGTACACGGTGATAATAACAACAATAAGAAAAATGCAATGTAAATATCAACGAGAAAGCAATATTACCGTCTAGCTATAATTTATTTTATTTTGTCCATAATAATATGTAATATTGTGCATATATTATTATAAATATTATGTTGTGCGGTGTTTGTCGGTTGTACCGATAACGATATTATTAACCGCCCCGACAAGTGTACATACACACGGCTATAGGCATTCACAGCTCCGTGAAAGTATTCTTTTTTCGAATAATGTGTTTTATACATCTGCGGTTTTTCTATATCCCTACAAGTGTTCCTTCGGCGTACGTGCACGAAAACAAATGAAGACGTTCTCACGTCAAAAAAAAAAAACATGCCAAAACTATGTTTGTACGTTTTATTGATCCGTTTTCATATCGGAAATAGGGAGGCTTTGTTGTTTTTATTGCGGATGTATCCCTATCGTATTATATTTAATTTCCTATCGCACATTCGACATTTTCCACATTTCCCAGGACCGACGATTGTGCGGGCTGACAAAAAAAAACTAAGAAATAGCGCGGTCCGTTTTGGAATTACATATAATATAAAAAATATACCGACCGAATAAAAAAAAAATAGGCCGTTCGAGTGGCGGCGGCCGAGATGAAAAGCGATAGCTTGTTTTTTTTCGTTATTTATTTAATATTTTTTTTTTTTACTCTTGATTTTCACGTGTCAGCGCCCCGGAGACACTGTGTACCATCGTTATAATACGCGTTTGGTGTGCATATATTATTATTATTATTGTATGTATACACCTGAGCCGAGGTCTCGGCCCCTTTTTGGTGGTAGCCGTGACAGCAGCCGCGGCCTATCGATAACCCGGCGACGATAATGATCGACAGCAGCCGTGGATGCGCGCGTGATCTATAAGGTTACCAAAGTGAAAGTATACCGCGGTTGGATACGTGACGGGTCTCCACCGGCCACCGGCGATAATAATTGTGTATGTACACGTGCGTTGCTGCCGTTTGGACAAAGAGAGCGTCGTTAGCTGCCGTTGTTGTGCACAGATATAGAGAAATAGATAACCGCACGGTCATCGGACAAAG